TCTGTGTATCTCAGGTTAATGATTCTTCCTCCAATCCTGATGCCACATTTTTCTTCATATAGTCCAGCTTCTCAGATTATTTGCTCAGCATATAGACTGAATAAGTGTGGGGAAAGGACACAACCCTGACACACTCCCTTCTTGATAACATTTAACAAATTATTGCTCCAGTATTATAAAACAAGGCTTAATTTTTTTTGGAGGACTGGAAATAAACTGCCTTGATTTGGAACACTGAAAAATCAGAAGTCATCTAAATGTTCAAAAGTAATGGATTAACAAAGAAACTATGATATTACAGATGGGAATACTGTGCAGCCATTAAATATTTAATTTATTTAGTAGTATCTTGTAGATTCCACAATACATAATTAACTGGAAAGGGGACACTATGACCCACTATTGTAAAATTAGGTGCATATATGCCTACAAAAAAGACTGTAAGGATATCATGTAAATGTTAACGGTGGTTATCTCTGCATGGTAGGAGTATAGGTTAATTTCTTTCTGTTTTATACAAAGGAACACCACTTACTTTTAAAGTAAGAAAACAACTAAAGGTGTTTTTTAAAGGCTGTCATTTCTAGTGTGGTTGTTGTTGTTGTTGTTATATGCCATCGAGTTAGATCTGACTCATAGCGACCCCTCCTTGGGTTTCTGAGGCAGTATCACTACGGAAGTAGATTAGTGGGCAAGAGGTAGAGTAAAGTTCTGCACAAAAATATCTCCACCTTTCTTAAGTTAACCAGGTCTTTTAAAATACAACCATGTCTTGGAAATTTTAAGTTTGCAAGTTTTTTATACTTTAATGCGAATTACTTTAACCAGCGTCTTCCTAGCAAAGTTCATCCACAAGAACAAGGGTTGATTAACATGAGACATTAAATGGGGCTCTTGGGATGAAGAAATCTCTATATAGTCTGACAAGATAGCTCTGAATAACAAAATACAAACACAGGGGTTTGGGCAATTGGATTCACAGGGAGAAGGATCATCAGGAAATTGAAGAGGGGCATAGAATGGGAGTTGGGTTTGGCCCTCTACAAAAAACTAAGCTTTCTGTAATTGACAATTTTGCCTGGTGTTTTGGTGTTTCAATCAATGATTTGACTACTAACCAGAAGGCTGGCAGTTCAAACCCATCAGCCACTCCTCAGAAGGAAGGTTGGGCAATCTACTTCCATAGTGATACTGCCTTGGAAACCCAAGGAGGGGTCACTAAGTGTTGGGTCTGACTCTACTGGCACATAACAACATCAAACAACATGAGTCAGGCACCATATTGGATGGGGGATTTAGGGTGATGTGAATAAAAGAGGCATGATACCTGCTTTCATGTAGCTTACAGTCATCTCTGTTTCCAAGAAAATTTCTCTCATCTATAGATTTTAACATTTTAATGCAGACATTAGATATCAGTACGAAGTGTTATTGCAGACTTTAAAAATTTCCAAAGTAAAGCCAAGAATTAGCTTAGAACTTACTTTCAGAGTATATCCAAATATGCATAATCTTGTCAGATATAACTGATCCTGTATAATATTTATTTACATAACCAGTTAAATTATGGGTGAAAAATCACTGTTAAACTTTTGAAATACAGTACTCACATAGATAAATTTTTAACATTTTGATACATAAAAAATATATTTATATTCTGAGGTTTTAGAATAATATAAAAGTAATTATGTTTAAAATTATTTTCCAAAGCATGATTTCAAATTTAATATTTTAGAGGAATAATAATATATATAATTAACATTAAAAATCACAATGGTATATTTTCTAGAGACTTAATTTTAATAATAATCAAAAATAGGAAATTAAAACAAAAACACAAAACTTACTAGTTAAAATGTAGTTGTACGTATGATCAAAATACAGTTAATAAAGTATATTCTCACACTAATTTCTACACTTTACATTGTTACTTATATAAACATGGGAGATAAATTTAGAGTTCTTACAATTGCATCTATATTTCTATCTGAAAAATTTATATGGGTTATTTTCTTCAGGCACTGTGAAGTGGTTTCTTCTTTTCGGGGCTTAACATTGCTGTTTTTGGCAATTAGATCCACAGTGAGTCGAACCATGATTCCTCTATAAAATCCGCACCAATGAATCTGTTCTGATACCACGGCAGGAAGCAGGTTTAGGTATGGTTTATCCTCAAATATCTAAAAATTAAAGAAAAAAGAGTATTATGATGTCACATAGCAATTTAGGAAAAAAAAATATTTTTGCTTTTAAATTTTCTTATATAAAACTATATTATAAGATAGTTTATAGACTTTTTAGGGACACTGAGGTATTTTCTAAGTTTATACACTTCAAACTCTTTATCAATAGATTTTAAAACACCAAAATTAATTAATTTACAAAACTCACTCACTTTTTTTTTCAGTTTGTGGTGAAAACTCATTATTTTTCTTTTCAATAGTTTTTTCTCCCTGACTAGTATTGAACTGTTATTGTAGATCACCTTTTAAAAGATGTATTCCTCTCTCTTAGAGTTGAAAAATCCCTCAAGGAATACTGTCCACTGATCTTATTGCAAAGGTGAAGAAACAAAGGCCCAGAGATTTGTCTCAATTAAAGATAGTGGCAGTTAGAATGGAACCAAGCTTTCAGTCTCCTCTTTCCATAATATCCATGGTGACCATGTATCCCCAGAGTCAGAATACATAATGTGAAAACCTTGAGTGTATATATAGGGCAATGGTACAATATATTTGAAAATGGAGCTGGCCTAGAAATTCTGTTACACACAGTTACTACAATTATTAATCCATAAAGAGGCAAAGTAATGTAGTATTTCTCAATCCACACTGTCTGGGTTCAAATTTTGGCTCCACTCTTACTTATTAGGCAACGTTGGGCATCTTATCTGAGTTTCTTATAAAATAAGGGTAATATTGGTACCTACTTCCAACGGATATTGTGAGGATTATATGACCTCAAGTATGTGCCACCTGAATTTAGAAACCACAGTTATATACCATAATTATACAAAATTGAGCATATCTCATCTGAATTTAGAGAACATCTCAAGAATAGATTTGAGGCATTGAATACTAATAACTGGATTCTAGATGAGTTATGGATGACATCAAGGATATCATGCGTGAAGAAAGCAAAATGTCATTGAAAATATGGGGAAAAAAGAAAAGAACAAAATGGATGTCAGTAGAGACTCAGAAACTTGCTCTTGAACATAGAGTAGCTAAAGCAAATGGAAGAAAGGACAAAGTAAAAGAGCCGAACAGAAGATTTCAAAGAGTGGCTTGAGAGGACAAAGTAAAGTATTATAATGAAACGTGCAAAGACACAGAGTAAGAAAACCAAAAGGGAAGGCCATGCTCAGCATTTCTCAAGCTAAAGGAACCAAAGAAAAAATTTAAGCCTTGAGTTACACTGAAAGATTCTAAGGACAAAATGAACGATACAGAAAATATCAAGGGAAGATTGATGAAATACACAAAGTGAGTGGACCAAAAAAAAACTGATGAACATTCGACTAATTTCAGGAGGTAGCATATGATCAAGAACCCATGAAGGAAGATGTCCAAGCTGCACTGAAGGCACTGGAGAAAAACAAGACTCCATGAATTGACAGAATACCAGTTGAGACATTTTAACAAAAGGGTACAACATTAGAAACACTCATCTATGCCAAATTTGGAAGACAGCTACCTGGAAGAGCTGTCTGGAAGAGCTGGAAGACAACAACTGGAAGTGCTCCATATTGTGCCCACTCCAAAGAAAGGAGATCTAATCCAACAGAATGTGGAAGTTATCAAACAATATCATTAATATTACACACAAGTAAAATTTTGCTGATGATAATTCAAACACAGTTGCAGCACTACTTCAATAGGGAACTGGCATGAATTCAAGGCAGATTCAGAAGAGGATATGGAATGGCTGAAAGCAGAGAATACCAGAAAGATGTTTACTTGTGTTTTATTGACTATAGAAAGGCATTTGACGCTATGGATTATAACAAATTATGGATCAGATTGAGAAAAGGAAATTCCAGAACACTTAACTGTGTTCTTGTGAAACCCATACATAGACCAAGAGGCAGTCATTCCAACAGAACAGGGCGATACTGCATGGTGTAAAATCAGGAAAGGTGTGCTTCAGGGTTGTATCTTTTCCCCATACTATTCAAGCCGTATGCTGAGTAAATAATCCAAGGAGCTGAACTACATGAAGAAGTACATGGCATTAGGAATGAAAGACTCGTGAACAACCTGCAATATGCAGATGACACAGCCATGCTTGCTGAAAGGGAATATGACTTGAAGCACTTACTAATGAAGATCAAAGACTACAGCCTTTAGTGTAGATTATACTTTGGCATAAAGAAAACAAAAAAGACTGAAGTTGTCAAGGATTTCATTTTACTTGAATCACAATCAATACCCACATAAGCATCAGTTAAGAAATTAAGGGATATACTGCTTCAGGCAAATCTGCTGCAAAACCTCTTTAAAGTGTTAAAGAGCAAATATGTCACTTTGAGAACTAAGGTATGCCTCACTCAAGCTGTGGTATTATTTCAGGGAGCCTCATATGCATGTGAAATAATTGATGCCTTTGAGTTATGGTTTTGGCAAAGAATGTTGAGTACATTATTGCTAAAAGAACGAACAAATCTGTCATGTAAGAGGTACAGCCAAAATGCTCCTTAGAAGTAAGAATGGCCAGATTTCATCTCATGTACTGTAGACATGTTATCAGGAGGGACCAGTCGTGGTAAAGTAGAGGGTCAGTGAAAAAGAGGTAGAGTCTCAATGAGATGGATTGACACAATGGGCTTAACTTAGCGACAACTGTCAGGATAGCATAGGACCAGGCAGTGTTTTATTCTGCTGTAAACAGGGTCACTATGAGCTGGAACCGATTCATCTAACATTTGATGACACCAGCAATAACAATGTATGAAATAATTATGTTCAGTGTGTTCTGCACAGTGCCTGGAACATAGCTCAGTAAATGTTTGCTATCATCATTATTCTTGGAAGGAAGGTTGGGCAATCTACTTCCATAGTGGTACTGCCTGGGAAACCCAAGGCGGGGTCACTATGAGTCGGGTCCGACTCCACGGCACACAACAACACCATCATTATTATTCTATCATTGCTTTGTTAACAGATTAAGTAAGTTACCTTTACTGTTTCACCTGGAATATATCAGGGCTGCTAAATAGGGGGAAAAGTGCTATTAATAAAAATATAAATTTATGTAAGACATCCCTAAGTTTGGGAGCTCTGGTGGCGTAGTACCTAAGGCATTTGACTGCTAACCAGAAGGCTGACGGTTCAAACCCATCAGCCACTCCTCAGAAGGAAGGTTGGGCAATCTACTTCCATAGTGA